GAGTCTCCTCTGTTTCTGCATCCCTCAGATGCACCAAGTCAGGTTTTTGTCGGGGAGCTGCTCACCGACCTCAATTACGGTGAATGGGCGGCTGAGATGTCCAATGCTCTCATTGCCAAAAACAAGTTAGGATTTTTGCTTGGCACCGTCGAGAAACCCGCTAGGGGAGAATCACTGAATGCCTGGATACGCTGCAACGCCATGGTGATTGGCTGCTCCGTCACGCTATGTCCAAAGAGATCCGCAGAAGTCTGAGCATCGGCCTTACTGCGCAACAGATAAGGGAAGAACTCCAAGAACATTTTAGTACCGGGAGCCTTCCTTAGAGCTATAAAATCCGCCGCCAAATTGCCGGTCTCGTCAAGATCGATCCAGCGTAGCGACATTCTATGCCAAGCTCAAGCGTCTCTGGGAGGATTGGATGTCACTTGATCCCCCAGCCAAGTGCACATGTGGTTTGTGTACTTGTCAAGTTGAAAAGCGTACTCGGGAATCTAGAGAGGCTATGCAATTGTTGGACTTTTTAGTTGGATTGGACGATAGCTTATCTACCATTCGTACGCATCTATTGTCTCTAAAGCCAACGCCTAGCCTAGGCGAGGCTTATCAAGCTGCCGCTAATGACAAAAAGCAGAAAAGCATCACCCATGATCATTGACCCCGCGTTGAGGCCGCCGCCTTCCAATGTCAGAGGGAGCGTTCTCGTCCCGATGAGCGAACTGCTGATGGTCGTCCCAAGTTCTCTCATTGTGGTAAGCCAGGGCATTTTCATGAAACATGCTATGACATCATCGGCTGGCCAACGAAGTCTGGTGACAAGGGAGATAAAAGTCGTCGCCGACCTCCGTCTCGGCAAGGGCGTGCGGAAGCTCAAGCTGCCGCAGTCGAGCGTGTTGATCTAGCTATTCCTGAACTGAGCGCTAATCAGATATCCCAGCTGAAGGCCTTCTTGTATGCTGATTCCTCTCCAGCTGAAGTCTCCACAGTCCAGCCGAAGGCCAACATGTCAGGTACGCATAGTGATACTGCTTCTCCTTTTACGTGGGTCATTGATTCCGGATGTAATGAGCATATTGCTAAACACTCTTCGTTGTTGACTGGTGAGTTAGAGTCCGACTCAAGTTTACAGGTTCGTATTCCAAATGGTACTGGAATACCTGTTCGTGGCGTTGGTACTTTTAAATTGGATAATGGTTTAGAACTCCGTCGTGTTTTACATGTGCTGGATTTTCAGTGCAATCTTTTGTAAGTCAGTCGTCTTACCGTTGATCATCCGGTTGCCGTGATATTTTTAAGCAACTTTTGTGTCATTCAGGACTTGCAATCCAGAGGCATGATTGAGATGGGTAAACACGTCGATGGACTTTACTGCTTGCGGGTGTTTGGTAGTAGGCATCCAGTGGCGTTGACAGCGCAGCAAGAAGACAAAGATTCTTAGTTATGGCATTCCATGCTTGGTCATCCCTCCGCGGCTAAGCTTACTGCAATGCAGCATTATCTTTCTCGGACTTTAGTTTTTAATAAAGACCCGTGTTTGTATTGTTTACGGGCTAAGCAGACTCGGCTACCTTTTGCTTCCAGTACCATTAAGACTCATTCTTGTTATGAACTCATTCATATTGATATTTGGGGAGGTTATAAGCAAGCTTCATTTACTGGTGCTTACTATTTTCTCACGGTCGTTGATGACTTTAGCCGCACAGTTTGGGTGTACATGTTGAAGCAAAAATCCGAGGTTGCTAGGTATCTCTTGCTCTTTTGTAATCAGGTGAAAACACAATATGAGCAGCGTGTTAAGAGAATCCAAAGTGACAATGGCCGAGAATTCACTGTCCCGGAGTTACGGGATTATTATGAGCGTGAAGATATCATACTTCAAACATCCTGTGTCAACACTCCTCAACAAAATGGTTTGATCGAGCGTAAACACTGTCATTTGTTGGACACAGCTAGAGCGCTTCGTTTTTCATTCTGGTCTTCCGATTCATTGTTGGGGAGAATGTGTTCTCACGGCTGCATACCTGATCAATCGTATGCCCCTTACGTCTCTTCAAAATAAAACTCCATATGAAGTTCTCCTTGGTCAGGTTCCCAAGTATGATCATCTTCGCTCGTTTGGTTGTCTCATCTATGCTAAAGACACCCATGCCAGTCTATCAAAATTCGCCGCTCGTGGTCATCCTGGGATTTTCGTCGGTTATCCAGCCCACCAGCGTGAATATCTCATTTTCGATATCGATCGGCAAGTCATTTACTCTTCAAGGGATGTATTCTTCTTGGAGGAGGTATTTCCTTTTGCCAAGATCTCACCATCTGTTGCGAACCCACCTACCCTCTCTCCGTCGCACAACTATGTTGGACTTGATGATGATTCTTCCGCAGAGTTGGGAGACATTTTGGATCACATGACCAGCTTGCTAGATGACATAGAGAATGAGCTCCCAGACCCACCTTCCACTAATAATGTGGGACATAATGATTCTCATAATTTCCCATATGTTGTGCATGGGGTGTCTCCCTCGTCTGCTCATACGTCACCACCAGCTGAGCCAACATCTCCCACCTTGGATCATACTATCTCATTGACGTCAGATATCCTCACCCACTGGCGTCTTGTTACCATTGTTGGATGCTGAGACTTCTCCGACTCCTTCACCCGCGTCAGGGTCCTCGTCCGGTTCACAGCAGGCATCACCTGCTGCAGTTGCACCGCCACCGCCTCATCATAGCACTCGTGTCACACATCTTCACAGTCGCTATGATGATAGAATAGTTGATCTTCCCGGTCATTAGGAGAACATGAGTCACGTCCTATACCCCATCAACAACTATGTTAGTTACGACCGCCTCTCGCCTGAGCACAAGGCCTATGTCGCCCAAGTCTCCAACGTTTTTTGAGCCCAACTACTATTACCAAGTTGTTAACTATGAGCACTGGCGCAAAGCCATGCAAACAGAGTTCACGGCACTTGAGTCTAATGGTACATGGGTTCTCGTTCCACTTCCTTCAGGCAAGAAAGCTATTGCGTCAAAATGGGTTTATAAAGTAAAATTTAACCCAGACGGTTCAGTCGAGTGTTATAAAGCTCGTTTAGTTGCGAAAGGGTATACTCAGGTTGAAGGCATTGACTACCACGACACATTCGCACTGGTTGCTAAATTGGTTACGGTACGCTGTTTGATAGCCATTGTTGTTAGTCAGAATTGGATACTTCATCAACTCACGTAAATAATGCCTTTCTACATGGCGATCTTTGTGAAGAGGTTTATATGGAGGTTCCTCAAGGTTTTGCTCGTCCTGGTAATACTCGTGTCTGTAAGCTCCTCAAGTCTATCTATGGGTTAAAACAAGCTTCTCGTAAGTCGTAACTGGTACAAGAAGTTTTCGGAAGCCCTCCTCGAGTTCAAGTTTGTTCAAAGTCGAGCTGATCACTCCTTATTTATTCACCGGTCTGGTTCCAGTTTTGTTGCACCCCTTATCTACGTCAATGACGTTATCCTCGTTGGTAATGATGTGACGTTCATTCAGAGTGTCAAAGACTTCCTTCACTCGCGCGTCACGATCAAGGATTTGGGTCCTCTTCGCTATTTCCTTGGGATTGAGGTGGCACGGTCCCCTAAAGGCGTTGTCCTCAACCAGCGTAAGTATGTCCTCGACATTTTGGCTGATAGTGGTCTCATTGGTACTCGTCCTTCGTCGACTCCCATTGAACAGGATAATCGACTGGGCCGTGGTCCTTCTTCTCCAGTGGTCGATGCTTCTAGTTACCGTCGCCTTGTGGGTAGACTCTTATACTTGACTGTGACTCGTCCCGACATTCAGTATGATGTCAACATACTTAGTCAAGCCGTACATGCTCCCACACAAGCCCATGTCGACGCCGCTACTCGCGTTCTTCGGTATCTCAAACAATCCCCCGGACATGGTTTGTTCTTCCCTGCCGATAGTTCTCTTACTCTCACTGCTTTCTGTGATGCGGACTGGGTTGGTTGTACCACCACTCGTCGTTCTACTACTAGCTATTTTATTAGTCTTGGTGGTGCCCCCATTTCTTGGCATACTAAGAAGCAGTCCGTTGTTGCACGTTCGTCTGCTGAAGCTGAGTATCGTGCCATGGCCACCACGGTTAGTGAGCTGGTTTGGCTTCGTTGGTTACTTGGTGAGTTAGGACATCCCATGTCTACTGTTACTCCTTTGTTTTGTGATAATCAGGCTGCTTTACATATATCGGCTAATCCTGTCTTTGACGAAAGGACCAAGCACGTAGAAATGGATTGTTATTTTGTTCGAGAACATGTTTTATCTGGGGACATTCAGCCGTGCAAGATTGCTACTGAAGACCAGCCTGCGGATATTCTCGCCAAAGGCTTGAGCGTTGATCAGTTTCATCACCTTCTTTCCAAGCTCGGCATGCTTGATATAGATGCTTTCGCTTGAGGGGGAGTATTACGGTTACTTGAGTTGCTTGGTTAGCAAGTAACCGTGTCCTGTTGGACGTCTAGGACTTTATCCTTGTTGTAATGCGTTTCGGCTATTAAGTCTACCCTAGTCTTGGTTATAAATACTTAGTTGCGGGTGTTGTCGTAGCAAGTATCAAGTAATAACGTCAGAAAATAAAAACATTCATGAGCTCGTTCGAGCTCACCGTGGATTAGTCCTGTTCAATCTGAGCAGGAATACCACGTAAAATCGTGTGTTTGAGTTTTCGTTCTTCGGCGTTCACAATTTCTTCACTCTTGGTCTATTTAGTGGTTAACTCCGGCGACGAGATAGTCACAAGTGCAAAAGGAATAACTCTGATAATAGAATTAGGGCTCACAAATCACAATCGACCTGCGAAATTATTTGGAAGACGTAGGAGGTTGTACATTCTACACCAAATCGCCTATGGATGTTAGACGCACATCACGGTTAACTAGTTGCTCAATATGTTAACATTTTACTATAACTTGAATTGATTAATTCAATTTCAGTATTTGGCATACTCGTAGATATTTGCATCATTTCACACGAATAGATCAAGCCGAATCCCTTATTCAAACTTAAGCGACATACTTGATCCACCCAAACATAATTAGAGGTCTAAATTCCTTCATATCAATTTATGTACATAAAACTAGAAGATACACTTTCAACCTTCAAACCTTCAAACGACATTGAACCCCTACCTCTAGACGGCCTTTCACCCGGGGCGAAATTGGCGATAGGGCAAATTATGCTTGATTACATCCTACCTGGGATTGTTTTTTCGCCTCGACTCGATTGACTCCTTTCTCCAGCATAATAACTCTTGCATGGATCCTCTGGCTTACCTTCTTTCTCTTCAACCGTAAAATTTGGCCATCTTTATACCGACAAAGCAAGGCTTCCGGGAAAGTAGTAATGATTGGGAAGCAGTGCATGGCCTTAATCCATACGCACGAGGATCATGATCATGATCGTACTGACATCATTGTGACCTTATCCAACTACATTACACTAGTTGTAATTCTAAGAAACTCTGCTAAAAATAAATGGGGCACAAGAGAAAACCCAACAACACGGCAAAAAATAGGAGAAATAAAGGGGGGAGGATCACATTTACATATCAGAAGTCGGATCCATTCTGAAAATGAACGCAGGAAAAACAACAGATCAGACTAAATAAGAATGCAGTATACTGAAAGAAAGGAGAAGAGAATCAAGATAAGTAGAGCTGAAAGAGAAAACAAGACCCCGAAGACAAATCATAGTCAAGGTGTTGTCTTACCCACCCACGGAAACTGAATGCACCATGCAATATGCCATACAGAAGTAGCTGGTAAGTTTACTACTAAATGCAAATGAGAACATGTTCACAGCTCACAGAGAGAAAAAAATGCACTTGAAACATGCAACCGATCAAAACCTAACTCTTCTTTCAGCAGCAAGACAGTTAAATTTATGCTAATTCGATCAGTAACCGCGTATTGATGACTCCCATTACTGTCCTTGCACCAAAAGCATATGTCAGACAGTAACTAAGACTCTGATACCTGTAAACTAGTCAATCAAACGCAAGAAATTGCCAAACAGCAAAGAGATTTCAGTAGGTCAGAGTCAGATCAAGTACCTTGGCTTACACCCATATCTCACCTTGCCTAGATCATATGCATTTACTGAATGCATTTATCTAATCCTGCAGCTAATTAACCAACAGCGTAGGATCATGCTGATGTTTCATGTAGATCCAAGATAAATCATAGCTCTTAAATATCCATCTCATATCTTACAACTGCATACCAATACTAGGACAGCCCACAACAACCTAGAACAAAATCTGCTTCTCCAAAAATAAAATTCCAAGCATTTTGTACGGACATTGCACCCAATAATGAAAACCTCGCCTAAATTTTAAGCTAGCCACTGAAAAACAAATAAACCAATCGCCAGATAATATCCAAATAGAGAAGTCCATTAATACATATGAATCATCTGCGTAGCGAGGTATGACATCCATCTTCAAAATATCTCGTCCAAAAGGAAAGAAATAACCTCCAATGACCAAAGTAAATCTTTCAATTCTCCTGAAGACTCGTCAAGGAAAGATCCAGAACATGTTTAATTTGCATTACTTGAACCTCAATCCCTAAACCTCCACCATAAAACGATAGCCTCGATTTCAAACTTTGCACCTCCAAGATACAGTTCCAAACTTTTCTCTTTGGCTTCAAGCGGGTTGATCATATTCATAAGCATAAATAAATTGCCCACGGGGAAGAGATCCCTGACATCAGAGGTTCCAATAGCTGTATCCAACTCTCATCCCAAAGCCTAGTGCCAAGCACTCCGAACAAACAACTACTCTCCAAAATAAAGAGTTTTCTTAAGTCTATGCTCTTCAAAGATATTGCCTAAACTAGACAAGTAAAGGGTCACTTATTCTTGGAGATAAGATAAGGTAATGGGAGATAAAAGAACAAGCAGTATTTCAACTTTGTTTTTTCCCCGCATGAAGCCATTTGCCTATCATCAATGAAAGGCATTGTGCATTCCAAGCCAACCTAGCCATGAAGTCAGGAACTGGGAGATATCATCTTCAAACCTGGCCTGTGAAGTCAAAAGCTTCGCACAATAGGAGTTACCATATAGTCATTATGGGGCTAACGGTAGTAGTCACCCCCATATCCCCGTCCACGGCCATAATAAGGAGGATATGGTCTGAACTGCAAGACAGAAAGAAAAGCATTTTGTTTAAAACTTTTGCACACCGAAAAAAATTTGAATCATTTAGGCCAGAGGATCTTACCTCAGAGCCATAATAATCATGTGGGTATGGATCTCCTCCAACAGGATAATTATCTACAGCATAGAGTAAAAGAGATTATCAGAAAACTAGAGGCTAGAGCCAGGAATGAGCCGTGATTTGGTCAAAACCAGACTGAAACAGACCAAATTGACATATGGAGTGAATCAGACAGGACCAAATATAACTCAATTGGGTTCCGCTTGTCAAATTGCTCCAATGCTGATTCACTCTGATTCTCAACCACACCATGCCTAACCCTTAACAAAATTTTCAGGATAAGGAAATTGAATGCAACAAAAAATCCTTACCATGATAGGGTGTTCCACGGTAAGAGACAGCGGGATCAGGATAATCAAATCGAGGGCGGTATCGACTAGGTTCTGCATAATCAGGTTCAGAATCCTACAAACAAAGGAGTTTCACAATCCATGCAATTACAAACAACTGTATACATTTCCAGAACAGGAATAGCAAGCAACCAAACCTGGCTACAGGTAAGTAAAGAGAAGGGCTTACAGTCATGTAAAATGGTCGCTTCCTCCCGTGCATACCATCACGATATAGGTAAGGGTCGTCATAGCGCCTTCCTCCATGAGGTCCATCAAAAGCTTCTTCAGAAAATGGTGGCCTCCTAAAAGGAACCTGGTCACTTGGTCCTCCCTCATTAACATTATGCCAATTTCTATTTATATTGGGTCTAGGCGGGCCAGGAAACGGAACACCTCCACCCACCGCTTGATAACCACCTCTTATAGGAGCCCTTCCCCTGCCTTATGTGATATGTGAGTGTTAGATTGTAATCAAAATTGATTAGCTCGATTAGAAGAATCACAGCGCCAATGGAGGCAGAGAATGGAAGAGATGGAGCGTTAAGTGAACCTCGTTCAGCAGTTTGCCTCCCAAGAAATGGATCGTGCCTGTTATTAAAACCATAATCCTCAGGACCCACTCTATAAGTTTGGCTACGCCCCCTTTGATAGAATCCTCTACCTCGATGATTTATCGAGTTAAACTGATTTCCTCCTCGTGCAACTCCCCTGACTGTAAAATAAGTTGAGATTATTAAAAAAACAAAATTGATTCTGCTGATAGAAAGCTCCACAAATGAAGCTTACCAGATCTTTGTAAGTTTACAGTATCGACACGTCCCACTTGACCAATTAGAAAACCACCACGCATTCCTCCCTTCACAGCTTGAGTCTTAGGTGCAGGATTGGAAAGCCTTGCTCTCACTTTTATCTGTCAGGATTCAAAACATTCTGGTCAGTTATAATTCACTTTTCACATATTTAAAGTATCATGTCTGCACTTAGTTTGACGAGGAAAAGAGTCACTGCGCAATACTCAGATTTTAAGGGAAATGCAAGGGCATGACTTCTTAAAAGAGATCACGATAAGAAGAGAAAGTTAACGCTAAAAATTTCATTCGTTGACAATCGGACAAATAAAGAAACCACTCCAGCATATTCAAGTAGTCGAGCAATAAGAAGAAAACATAATGAAGGTATCTAGAACAGGGACTTTGGTTTTAACTTTTAAGTAATAAGGAAAATAGACTAGAATAGGAAAGAGCATGTTAAAATAATACAAGAACACAAAGCAGATTTGAACATAAGACGAACAGTACCTGTGTGTTTTCACCACTGCTTTCAGCATCATTTACTCCCTTAATACAGGCAATGGCAGCATTATGAGTAGAGAAATCAACGAACCCAAAATCCTTTCTCTTGGCAGTCTGCATATTCCTTGCCAGTGCTATTCGTGTGATTTCCCCGTATCTTTTAAGACGTTCCCTCACATGGTCTTCATCCCAGTGTAAAGGAAGGCCATCAAGAAATACTGTCTTCACCTCTGCCATTATTTGAGGGTCAGGGTCACTTATGGGTTCGGCAAAAGCTACCTTTGCAGTTCTCTCAGGATGACCGAAAACAACATCAGGCTTCTGGAGCCTTTTGTATGCCAGCATGGCATCAGCACGGCAAGAAAACTCGAGAAATGAAAACCCACGACTTCTACCTTCGTGTTGAACATCAGAAACAAGAGTGATGCTTTCAACACCTTCTACGCCATATTCTTTCAACTTTCGCCTTATCTAAATAACAAGTTATCACATGAGTCATGAATCAACAATGAAAAATGATTATCAGGCTTACATAATAATAAAGTATGGTGCACTCACAGCTTCTTTTGTCCACGTGTTGCATATATTGCCGAGGAACAATGTCTCGTTATCCTCCCTAGGTGCTGTACCACATCGCTTTCCACAAATCTAAGAACGCAAGAATGTCAGAACTGGAACTTATGCCAGAGCATGCTAAAATCAAAGCAAGCAATACCTACCACAGGGTTTTTCATTTCTGACAAAGCTCGCTTAACATGCTCCTTATTGGAAAACCTCACAAATGCATACCCTCTACTCTTGTCTGTTGAAAAATCTTTGTGCATTCGAACTTCAACTACTGGACCAACATTTTCAAAAGCCTTCTTCACTTGTTCCTCAGTAGTATCCATATCCAGACCGCCTACAAAAATCTCATACTCTTTCTTAAGTTTGCATTCTTCTGCGACAGCGGTTAGTTGCTTATCTTCTTCCTCCAATACACCAGCATTATCGCCGGCTCGTGCCTCATTGTAATCCACTATGCATTCATTCTGAATAGGATCTTCCAACCCCACGCGATCCCCGTAGCCTTGATCATGAGCACAAACTTCTTTCCCTGATGGAGTCTTTCCTCCTTCAATCTTATTCTCATTACTTCCTTCTGGGTTAACAGTGTCAGCTTTACATTGATCCTTATCATCAACACTTCCTGCCAGAGTCTCCTTTGGGACTTCCTCCACATCTTTACCCGGTTCTTCTTTTCCCTCATTATTGGCTGGCAATGTAGCAGACACATCAAAGTCAACACCATTTTCTGCTTTCAGAATAGATCCCTTGAGAGAATCAACTGAAGGTTGAGAATCCTCTGCAGAACCAATAACAAGTTCTTCCACTTCACCTACATGGTCCTGCCCTTTCACCTCAGATTTAACTGTAGTTTGTTCCATCTCAGAGGACTTCTCCACATTTATACAGTCAGATTCCTCTTTATTACCGGAGTCAACATCCTTCGAGCCAATCGTCATCACTTTCGTGCTCTCTTCAGTCACAGCATTAACCGGCTCTGCTTCCTTCTCAGCACTATCTTCTTCTGGGACTATGGTGCTTTCGTCTTCAGTCTCTACCTTAACTGGTTCTGCTTCCATCTCATCACTATTTTCTTTCTGGACGTTAGAGCTTTGTTCTTCAGTTTCTACCTTAACTGGTTCTGCTGCCATCTCATCACTATCTTCTTTCTGGACTTTAGAGCTTTCTTCTTCAGTCTCTACCTTAACTGGTTCTGCTGCCATCTCAGCACTATCTTCTTTCTGGACTTTAGAGCTTTCTTCTGCGGTCTCGATCTTAATTGGTTCTACTGCCTGCTCAGCATTATCTTCTTTTGGGACTTCGGTGTTTTCTTCTTCGGTCTTACGCTTAACTGGTTCTAATGCTTGCTCAACGGTATCATCTTTTGGGGTAGGAGGTGTCCCGATCTTCAACTGTTTTTTCTTCACCATCTTCACAACTTTCTTCACTACCCTTCTTGTTCGTGGATTAGGTTTTGCCTCCATCATAACAATGTCTGCATTGTATGATACTTGTGCTTCTTCAACTGACAGGCAAAATAGCACTCAACTTAAGAACTATCAAACATTAAAAAAATAACTAATCTTTCTACAGCCTGACCTTAAAATTGATTAAATACTAAATAACTAATCCAGCGCAGATTACCAGAACTTGGAAGAAACTCGGTTTACCTGCTGATTGATCCGGTTTCAAATCAGGAACTGCAGTTGGAGAAGGTGGTTTATCTTCGTCCAATGTCTGCTCAGATTTAGCTGGCGAACCGGGTTCCAGTTCAGAAGCTTTTGAAGCTACCGATTTCACTGCAGCATCAGGAGTCGTCACAGGAGTGTTTTTCGCGGCAGTTTTCCTTCCCGCCGGCGTCCGCTTAGACGCTGTCGCCGGTTTGGCAGTATCCCCGTTTCGCGTCCTCATCGAACACTTCTAAACCGATTACTTCCCTGTTTTCTACTGCAATTTCACGAACCAAACCAAAATCAAATTGTTTCTTCCTTAAAGGCGAAGAACCAGATTGCAAAAAATCGCCACGGAAACAGAGAAATTGCACGCTCGATTACCACCATTTCAACAACAAAAACTTAAGAACAGATATCCGTGGTGAAGGGTTGCAGAGATACAGAAAGCTCAATGAGTAGCAAGATTGAGAATTTGGAACTTACTTCGCCAACGGCTTTTGTTCAGCTCACGATAACGGAATTTGCAGGAAAGAGCAGTTGGGGAAACTGGAAAGAGTGACGAGCACAATCAAACCCTGGGAGTTGGGTATTTTAGTAATTCTGCCAGCTCGTGCATCCAAAGACTCATTTACCCTTACAAGTTTTGCTGGAGTTGCGTTAAGTCAGCTGGGGTACGGTGGTAAATTACGACGATTCTCTTGCTCCATTTTCCTGGAAACCAAACAGAACCGCGAGTTTCAGTCGATCCCTCTCACTAAATTCTCTGTTGGAGTCGCGAACAGCTCTTTTTCTTCCTCTGTGGCAACGACGAGGTATGAATCTCTGTGAAAATTGAAACTTTGGATTTCCTGATTTGTTCTTCTCCATCTATCTCAGTTTTGGGGGAAATGCGAAGCTTTCTGATCGAAATATTGGGAAATCTTTTTTGATTGGAATATATAGGGGCGAAGGTTGAAGGATGGCGAGCAGTTCGGTGGACGAGGCCGGAAATCCGATCCCAACATCGGCGGTGCTGATGTCGGCGTCGAAGCACATTGGGCAGAGATGCTTTAGCGAGAATTTGGAATTCATCAAGTGCAAGCAGCAGGATCCTAACCCAGAGAAATGCCTCGATAAAGGGCGGCAAGTCACTCGCTGCGTCTTGGGCCTGTAAGCAATCTCATCGCCTCAAAAATTCTCCCAGAAAAGCTAGCTGCTTTAATTACTGTTAATTGTCGTTGGTTGTGTGAGGTTGTGCTTCGTCTTTGTTTGCTGATTGACTGTTTTGGGACCAATTCATTTCTCATTTTAGGGTTTTTAGAGTGTGATATTAGGCGATTGGATTCTATGCAAGTGATTCATCCGGATTCAATGGTCTTATCACGGGTAGCTATTTAGCTCAGATTGGGGATTGGCTGGCAGCTTGAACCATCCCTTATCTCTTTCCTAGCCGATTACAGGATTAACTTCAGTTTGGGGATTCCACTTTGTTTGCTGATTTGACTGTTTGGCCACAAACTTAGGCTTGGTTTTGTAGGGGTATATGATGGCGAAATGAGATTTAGTGTGCGATTAGGCGATTGGATTTCCTAACCGGGCTAGTTATGTAGCTCAGTTTGCGATTTTGCACCATGAACCATCCCTCTTCACTTTCTATAAGGTTACTGAATTCATGGTTTGTGCTGTGAACGAATTATCAACTTCGGTATGCTGCTGGAGGCTGCAATTTATGACGATTGTAGCTTCAGAGAAGAAGGATCATATTATTCTTGCATTGTGATACATATGTTCTTTTCCGGTAAATGGAGCTGATTTGGTTAGAATTCAAATGCATATGCATTACACTGTTGCTACTAACTTGACTGCAATCTAGGTCTGAGCCATTAAGTTAAACTCGTCAAAGATTTGGAACTTAGAAGAGTATACTTTAATGTTCATTAAGCCTTACTGACTTTGCAAATGCTTCAACTCATACGGAATTCAGTTTTAACTACCTGCTCCCTCATAATTCCTCCGAGTAGATATAGCCTCAGCACAGGTTGGCGTAATTAGCCTGGGTCTGGTGCCAATATATTTTTATGTCCTTCACCAGATTGATGCAGTGAATTTCTCACTGTATAGAACCTGCATTCTTTCAGCAATACGTTGACCCCTCTTATGTTCATTTTATAGATAGATATGTGAGCTTTGAGCTGTATGAATCATGATTTGTATAGTCTGAACTCTGAAGAAAACTTTTACTTAACTACCGGCTTTTGCCCTCAGTTGGTTGCATTTCCCTGCATTACATCATTGACATAGAAAACATTCATCCATAGACTTGCAGAAATGCTCTATCTTTAGGCAGCAGTACGATAAAGAATTCAATGATCTGTTGTGATTGCAGGCTGAAAGATTTACACCAGAGGTGCACGACACAAATGGACAATTACGTTGGCTGCATGTACTACAACACAAACGAGTTTGATCTGTGCCGCAAGGAGCAACAAGCATTCGAGAAAGAGTGCCCTCTGTAGTGATTCAATCCAGCCACAAAACCTGGATCTTTGATTCCCTCCCCCTGCTTAGTTCAATAATATGTAAATGGCATTCCGCCATGAACAAAATAGCATGGTTTCGAACTCTTTTTCTATTGTTGATTGTACCAGTGGCATCTCCTTTTGAGCTTGGATAAGTTTTAGCCATTGATCTCGTTGCACTCAGAAATATTATTTGCATTTGCCTCTGGAGCGTATTACCATTCTGGATTGATGTCTCGACAATCGACTCTACCTCGAGTTTGCTCAGCTTTGTATTGTTTGCAGTGAAAGCAATAATGACTGTTGTACAACAACCAGATCATATGGTTTACCAGTTGCAACCATAACTAGTTGTCGCTAAATAGTCCTTGTGACGAATTCTGACGTTTAGCGACCATTCCAGCCGTCACCGGCAAGGCCATATCTCTTGCAGCACAGGACGGAAAGACTAGTACAAGAAATATGAATGTCTTTTTAAGGCAGAAAAAGGTCCAATCTTTCAAAAACACCACATCATCGCCCAATCAGAAAGGACTCGAATCAATCAGTTCACATAAAATTCCGCACCAATAATAGAACTCCGAGATCACCCAATCGGAAAGAAGTTCAAATCATTCCCACCGGAAAATGAACAAAGCACCAATTTATTCGGTGAAGGCAGCCATGAACTCCGAATCCCTTCTCAGACGATCAAAACACTCCGGCGACAGACAAATCTCGAACCCCATACTCCCCGGCTCCGGCCCCGGATACACCGTCACCTTGCCGTCGTATTTGTTCGCGCAGCCGCTCCTCACCGCCACCGGCTTCCCCCACCCGAAATCCGTCCCGTAGGCGTCGAATCTCGGCGATCCACTCAGCACCAGCCCTCCTTCCGTAAACTCTGCCAGCCCTCTCATATCCGGAGACTTGATCCAATTCTCCACCGCCTCTTCAAGCTTATCGTCCGTCGTCTCCGCCACCACCCTGTTCACCTCCGCCGCCACGTGTCCCAAGCTCCCTTCCGCCACCAGATCCTTCACCTTCAGCGTGACCGTCCTCCCTCCGATCGCGTTCCCGAAGTAATGGGCCGGGAACTTGGGCTCGAACCGGCCCCGGAAGCCCACCTGGATCACGAACCGGGCCTCGGATTCCGGATCCGGGTCCGTGCGGCTTCTGGTCACGGCTCTCCAGAGGTGCGAAATCAGGGCCTGGAGAGACGAGATCTGGCGAGACCCGGCTAGTTCGGCGGCGGCTTTGGCTTTCAATTCGGCGATTTTCTTCCTGCTGAAGTGGAAGGTGCCTTCCTTCAACGGCGGAACGACGAGACTGTCCTCGTTGAAGTCTCTGATTCTCGACCAGGGAACTCTGACATCTTTGTGCATCGCATCGAGCGACGAATCTCTGGTGAACACCGGCGGCGAGTAATCGCCAGATCCGCGGCAGATACTTGACCAGATCCGGTGAAAGTTCCAGTGGGTGGTCCCGTCGGCGACGGCGTGGTTGATCGTCCAGCCGAGGAACACTCCGTCGACGAGCTCGGTTATCTGGATCGACATCAGCGGCCTTGTGAATCCGTGGTAGTTCTTCAGGTCGGGGAAGGCGAAGAACGACCAGATGACGGGAGCGGGAGGGACGGCGAAAGGCTGCCGCAAGGCCTCGTCGACGGTGACGCCGTCGGCGACGGCGTAAAGGAACGGGCACCCGGCATCGTTGCAGTCGATGTAGACGGTGGCGGAGCCGTCAGGGTGTTCGTCGGCGGAGAATCGGCCGGCGAATGGGTAGTGGAGGGCAAGAGCCTTGGAGAAGGCGGATTTCAGGTTTTCGATGAAGGCCTGACGAGAGATGGGATGATCATCGGTCGGGCTTCGGAAGAGGAGACCCTTTTGGATGGTGCCGACGAGGATGAGGCGGAGGTCGCAGGCGGCGAGGGGAATCCGTTCGAGAAGAGTTTGAGTGTTGTTGGCGTGGATGGTTTCTGTTGAGAGGATTCGAACTCTGGTGTCCGGCGATCTTGGGTCGGAGGTGGAAGCCATGTTTTGGGGAAAGTTTCGAATTTGATTTTGGAAGTAGATGAGGAGATTTTGGATTAGGGGTTTTAGGGATTTCCGAGTAAGGCTTGTGTATCATCTTGTTTTATTATTAATTAATGGGTTAATATCTTATTTTGGCCCGAACTATAACCATATAATCAACTTTGGTCCATGGTTTCAGAAATTAACATCGGCTCAAGATAGGGTGCATAACCATCATCTGGACCCTTCATTTAGAAAATCCAGATCTAAGGATGGAGAATTAAAGACTATTTTTATTTACACTAGCTTTCTTAATTGACTCATATCTTTTTCGTTTTAACTCGGATTTTAATTTTTTTTTGCACAGATGGAACGAGTTCACCGTGCTCTACAAAATGAGATCAATTTTCAATATTTTTTTAGGAAAAAAAAATTCTGGCCTCTCGGTACCAACTACATACCATATGGTATCTTCTTCGTTTTTAATTCGTTTTTGAAAACGTTTGCACATCAGGGATGAGTTCATCATGATCTACTGGATCTACAAATTTATGGGTGAACAAATTACAGGACAAAAAAATACCACACAATACCATACAATACCACCCTGGTACGGGGTGGTATTGTATGATATCTTCTTCGTTTTTAATTCATTTTTGAAAACGTTTGCACAGAAGAGACGAGTTCATCATGATCTATTGGATCTACAAATTTCTGGGTGAACAAATTACAGGACCAAAAAATACCACACAATACCATACAATACCACCCTGGTAAGGGGTGGTATTGTGTGGTATACAATGTTAAAAGTCGTAAATTACAATTAATATACTTCTACTATCATGTATTCAACCATCCTACAGTATTGTTTTGTTCATACCACCATGGTACGTTTTTCAAAACATAGGTATGCTTTTATTTCAATACTAGTCAATACCATATGGTATAGGCTGATAAAAAATGGCTCAATTTTTTTTGTTCGAAAAATATATTAAAGTGTATATCATTTTGAAGAGCACAATTAATCTGATCTAACTGTGCAAAAAAAATTAAATTTCGACTTAAAATGAGCGAGAAATCGTCCGTCAAAGATTAAAAAGGGAAAATTAAAGGCTTCCATGAGAGAGAGGATGCTGATGTCATGCTGATGTGGACGGGTTACTCATGGTTACTCACCATAAGGTTACTGACCTGATCCATTCCTGGCCTCAACTATGCAGCATATAGACTCAATTGGCCCGACACATAGTTTGACCGTTAGTCAACACGCTTATGTCATTGCCTAGTCAGCCTAAAAATCATTAAAAAAATGCAAATTCATATTATTTTTCTAATTTTTCTTATTTATTATCAAATTAACCAAAAATAAATTATAAAAAACATAAAATAAATTTGATTTTTTATTTTTTGGATAATTTGAAAAATGATAAATTTTATAAATTAACCAAAAATTATCAAATTATTTTATATTTTTAAAAATTCCCACAAAAATATAATTTATATCATAAAAAATTATTTTATATTTTTAGAATTTTATTTTTTGGTTAATTGGAAAATGATAAATAATAGAAATTGGGAAAATAATTTGAATTTGAATTTTTTTAATGATTTTTAGGCTGACTAGGCAATGACATGGCATGTTGACTAACGGTCGACGGAGTTGACCGTCCAAATTGACGGTCAAATTATGTGTCGGGCCAATTGAGTCTATATGCTGCATAGTTGAGGTCAGGATGTTAATTTCTGAAACCACGGGTCAAAGTGGATTATATGGTCATAGTTCCGGCCAAAATAAAGTATTAACCCATTAATTGACTGAACTGAATTAATGGTTTCTTCTATGAACGCATAATCAACTTCAGTATACACCGTTGCTACGAACTTGAGTGCAATAAAGTCTGAGCCATTAGGTTAAACTTTTCAAAGAATTGTGTTTGGAACACAGAAGAGTATACTTGAAGGTTCATTAAATCGTAGTGATTCTCGGAATGCTTCAACTTATACATGATTCAGTTTTAACTGCGACAGCTTCCTCCTAATTCCTTTGACTAGATATGGTCTCAACTGCGAATGTCGACAATGGGTAGGTTCGGTGTGGGTATTTTGATACCCATATCTATTCGGTGACAAATTAGGTTCATATCGTGTAATTTATCATAAGGCGTGACTTTGAACAGGTCAATCCAATGAATCGAATATATAATTTATATGAAAAACATTAGAAATATGTCTTATTTACAACCGAACAATAAATTAAGTTAGATCGAGAGAAAGGGAAAAAAAGAAGTGTGGCTTTTGTGGGTGGATTTCCAAAAAAGGACGTGTGGACGGTGGTAGGTAGATATGATGGGGTTTTGATGAGTAATTTAATTAAATAAAAAGAGGACGTGGTGTGGCTGGCTGGGAATGGTATGGGTCTTTTTTATTTTATTTTCATTTTATAAAAGGATCTTCTAAACAAAGAGGTTTAGTTACATAAATATTTGTATTTTTTTTAATTTACCATCAATATGGCTGATTAAAAAGTATTGACACAGTTATTGTGTTTTGGAGAGCAAAATCAGCGAGACTGCCTGAGACACAGGCGCTGCCGTTATTTCTGTTTTTTTGGATCATTTGATTAAGGTGTTAGCGGCGGCGCCCAAGACTAAGGTGGTACCACCTGAGATTGAGGCGAGTTGGTGGAAATTTTTACCTGGCGATGACGCCCAGGACTATGGCGGTCCACTGGCGTATTGCTGGCTACCCCCTATAAAACTAGCGAATTTCGTTTCAGTTATTCACCACACAAAAAAATCGACGAAGTTAGAGGAGGAGAAGCTCTGGTTGCTGCTGCAAAAATGGCTAATAGGTAAGAGACACATTTATTTTTTTAATTATATTAATCAAATGCTATTATGACTTTGTTTAGTTAATTAGTGAGTTTGTTTTTCTGTAGTGAAATTAGAAGATTTGAACTAGTCGTTCGGTGGAAATCGGAGAAAGTAGAGGATAATTTGGGCGTCAAATTCATTGGTGGTAGTAGTTTTCAGTTGACGGTTCCAGCAAGGGTTACATGTCACAAACTTTGTGAGAATCTCATTCCGATAATACGGCGTAGCGACGAAGCAGTACAAGATAGTGATGTGATCACAGGTTTCATTTACTGTCTTCCAGAATGGCAGAATGGTGTTTTATTTCATTATGCGATGCCTATTGTGGATGATGATAGTTTGAATGTGTTTTTCAATTTTATGGCACAAAATCCTTATTGTTTGGGTACTGAGATACATGCTGAGCTTAGTGAGAATCGGGATAGAGAGGAAGAAGTTACATGGAGCATGCCATCTGATCATGACGATGTTGACGGAAAGGAGGAAGATGCGGAAGAGGAGGAAGATGGCGAAGGAGAGCAGCCTAATTATCCTCCATATTTTTACTTGCATGGTAATGAAGAGGACGACGAAATATCATATGTTGATTCATATGGCGTAATTCCAATGCCTATTGTTGCTAGTTTTGAAGGAGATTTCTACAAGGGGCAGATATTTCACTCGAAACAAGCTGCACAGGTGGCGATTAAATACCACGCACTACAACGCAACTTTCAATATGGCATGGTGGATTCGTCACCTTCAATCTGGAAGGTCAGATGCTTGAAGCACAAGGATGAAAATTGTTCTTGGATGGTGCGGTTTGGATGTCGAGATGTTGGAAGCGAATGGACTATGAGAAAGGCCGAGTTGGTGCATTCTTGTAGCAGTACGACTCAACCGACGGATCATCGCCATCTTGATGTCGATATTATATCTGAGGCCCTCAACATTTGGTACGTGCCCAACCAAATCTGAGTGTTCTAACTATGCAGGCCGAGTTGAAAGATAAGTTCAATATGCAAGATACTTACAAGAAGGCTTGGTATGGGAAACAAAGAGCATTGGAGAAGTTGCATGGAAATCGGGAAGAATCCTACGATTATATGCAAACATTCTTGCGTGTGGTAAAGAGAAAAATGCCAACAATAGTGATTGATTGGGTAAGAGTTCCTTCAGCTCAACCAGGTCATTCGATCTTTCAGTGAGTATTCTGGGCTTATGGACCTTGTATAGATGGATTCAAGAATTGTCCAGGAGTCATGGTTGTTGATGGAACATTTCTTACTGGAAAGTATAAAGGAGTGCTACTCATGGCGAGCTCATTTGATGGCCGAAGAAGATTTTTCCAATAGCATTTGCCATTGCGGAGAGCTAGAATACTGAAAGTTGGCCATGGTTCATAAATCACGTTCAGGGTTTGACCGATCGAAATGATGTGTGCATCATCTCAGATAGACATGCGGGACTCTATGAAGCCATGGGTGACATCGAAAGAGATTGGGAGTGGAGGTGGTGCATGCGACACTACGCAAGCAACTTGCAAAGAAAGACTAAAAGCAAAATTATGTATAAGCAACTATTTCGAGTCAGTAAGTCTTCTTCATTTATTTTTTTATTTACTTTAGAGGTCGTTTGGAAGTTGTGATTGTTAGAGTTGTGTTTGTTAAATACATGTATTAAGCACAATACAATGTTTGGAAGTGTCAAGTTGTAAAACAATGCATGTATTATTTTGTGTAGGCCCCACCAACAATCACAAAAAATGATGCATTATACAATCTCAACTAAAAGTTGAGATTGTTGTGATTGTCCTTTTAGATTTGTGTCCACTTTTTCTTTCCATTTATATCCCCAATATTTTTTGTTTTATACTAAAAGGTGAGGGTAAATGTGACATTTCCCTATAAAGTAACTTTATGCAAATCAATACATAAACTAGAATATCAACAACCAAACAATGTATTGTCAAAATGCATCTATTGTATCAATGTATGTATTTATATTGTAGTGATTCATTACAATACAACGATTTAACATTCGCAACTTCCAAACGACCCCTTAATGTAATTTTGTCATGATTTTATCTAACTCGTGTGGTTATTTAATTTGTTAGCCGGAGAAAAACGCTTGGAGAAGTTCGATCGTCAAGTTGAGAAATTTAAGAAG